CTCCGCTGGCAAAGGACAGCCTGAGCCCGCGGGTGGCCACCACGGGGCACGCAGAAAGCTTCGGCCGAGGGGGTTTCAGCACTGCTTTCAGCCAGCCGAGCCCCGAGCGGCCTTACGAAGGATAAATTCCTGTTTTGTCAGGACAGAGCAGTTTTTATTACTCCAAGGAGGCATAATCAGTACTTCTCTATGACAACAGAAGGGTGAGTCTGATCCCGTGACCAAAACAGTATTCCTCAAATATGTCATCGGTCAGAGATGTTAAAAAGCCAGGCGCTCCGACAGCCAGCAACTACGGGCTGTAAGCTTGTATGGGAAATTACAGTGTGTTATGGTATATAACAAAAACATTGGCCAAAGAGGCAAAGGTAGTTGGCCTTTGGCATCTTCTAAACATGTATTTTTGTCTTCTCCAGATGCTGTATGAGCAGTGGGGGGGTACCTGGAATTTTTACGGCATTTCTGGTGGAGCTGAGGCAGCCCAAGCCCCGTGCTCCCCACCACAGAAGTTGTCCTCATCTCCCTCCCAAAGCCAGCTTGGCTGTCCCCATCGCCGTCTGCCACCAGGCAGGGACTGCAGCCTCAGCAGCGGGAGGGCTGGGCAGGGACCCTGCCGGCACTGCCGGCTTCTGCTCGTTCCTTCCCTCTCTCCTGCTGGAATGTCCCCGTTTCCCTCTCCAAGCTGGCACAGGGGACAGCCAGAGACACCGTACACATCTCAACAGCGTTCCATGTACTTGACTACTGGTTTGGGCTGTCCCGCTATTTGACTACGTGCTGTCAAAACCCCAGCTAAAATTACAGAGAACTTAAGTGTTACAATTTCTCATTATTTCTAGCACAAATGATGTTGAAAGTCTAATTTCAATCATCTAACTTCCTCTTAAAGCGTAATTTTTGAGGGTCAAACACCCATGGGGTGAGTTTTCTCATTCCCTGCCAGGCGGGTGCTGTTTGAGCCAGCAGGCTTTAAGCCTTGGCAAGTAAATACCAGAAAGCATTATGCCAAAAATGAAACCCCTGTAATTACCACCAGCCCAGGTCTCGGAACTGGGACCTGAAGGACAAAAAACACGGTGTGTTTCTGGGGAAGTGGTGCTTCCATGGCCAGACTGAGCCTGTTCCTAACGATGATTATCTGGTACTGGCTAACAGGCTTCATTGCAGCGAGGAAGCGTGTCCCTCCAGGAGGTCATAGAATCACAGAATGGTTTGGGTTGGAAGGGACCTTGAAGACCATCCAGTGCCACCCCCTGCCCTGGGCAGGGCCACCTCCCCCCAGCCCAGGTTGCTCCAAGCCCCGTCCAACCTGGCCTTGAACACCTCCAGGGATGGGGCAGCCACAGCTTCTCGGGGCAACCTGCCCCAGGGGCTCACCACCCGCACAGGAAAGAATTTCTTCCTCATATCTCATCTAAATCCCCCCTCTACCAGTTTGAAGCCATTCCCCCTCGTCCCATCCCTCCATGCCCTTGTAAGAAGTCCCTCCCCAGCTCTCCTGGAGCCCCTTTAGGCACTGGAAGGGGCTCTGAGGTCTCCCTGGAGCCTTCTCTTCTCCAGGCTGAACCCCCCCAACTCCCTCAGCCTGTCCTCCCAGCAGAGGGGCTCCAGCCCTATTTTTTATTTAAAAAAAAATAAATAATGTAGTGCCACTGCATCGTCAAGGACAAAGACAGCTTTCGGAGCGCTGGGGGCCAACGGCTGAGCGATCGCGATGGCCGGTATGATGCCGCACATGGTAAATTAATGAGTTAGAGCTTTCCTGAGGCGTTGGGGACGCGCCGTCGGGCGAGCGGCATCGCCGAGCTGCTCCGCGCTGGCCGCGGGGCTCCCCGCCGGGCGGGG